TTATAACCACATAAGTAGGCAAATTTGTTCGTTCTTCACCTAAACGTTATTTCCAGACTATAATTTTATTGTCCTATATTTGTCTATACTATTAACTGCCCGATGACAGTCCACTATGGGCCTACTATACAAAAAAGACTTTTTGTAGAATCTCCACACTTGCCTAACCAGGTATTAAATATTGTTTGAATATTGAAAATGCCAATATTCTGCTGTAAATACTTATTAGTTGAAAATTTTTTTTCTGCTTTTACGACGAGTAAAATTCAATAATGAAATGGAAACTAAAACCTCAATTTCAATGGCAAAGAGTATAAGTATCGCATTTGTGACCAATGTAACAACGAAACAGTTGTAAATAAAACGTTGTAAAAATCTTGTGTAAACATAAATAGATATGTTTACGTCAATCGGAACACGTAGATACAATATTACTATTATTTATTACAGCATTCTTGGAATTTCAGATAAAATATGATACTATACATACATATATATAATACATGCATAATATTTGATATAAACATTAGTAACTTTATTCAACCATGTCCTATGACAATATAATTTTAGATTATAATAGTTGTTTTAAACTGCATATTTTATTCAAAGTTAAAAGTGAGTATTCCAATAACACAATATTTAGGTAGGTACTGTGCACTTAATGCTAGTTACCTAACAGTTTAATGAAATAAACAAGTTTGTTCATAGGTTCCTCGTCGTAGCCCTATTTCATAGCCAAAAATTTCCACAATCTTTTTTGTGATTCTGATGTAAATCAAAGTCATTGATCAAATCAAAACTGACAAGTTCCCACAGAATAAGAATGTATTTTTCTTTACTAAAACTGAAGTTGAAAAGATCAAAACATATTTTAACTGTCGACTATTTAATTAATACAAATGAGCGTGATTTAGTACTCATTAGTTGTGATGAACTCCGCTATGTGGAACATTTTTTGCGTCTAGATACGTCGTGGCTCATATAATTATAGCATAGTTTAAAGAAAAATCACCTCTACAGAGAATTTATTCGTCCGGCGATCCGCCATAATGCTTGCGTGTGTTTTGTGGCATTGAGCACTAATAATAATCGGTGAACTTGACATTGAGAACGGAGGCTCGTCATCGTAACAAGATGCTCCGTCTCTTCCGCACTATATCGTAAATGCTGCTGTTAAAAAAGGATGGCTAATATTATCTTCTTTGTTCGCGAGTGTTTGTAGGTCAGTCGTGTATTTGTTCCGGACGATAGTCCGAAAGTCGGCTGGAGGTTACATTACGTAGTTATTTAAGTTAGAACTCGACACACAATGTGTGCAAATTATCAACACATCTAAAAATTTACTGAATCATAGTTCACCTATTAGCGCGTCCTCTCGTGACCGTAGCTAGTTAGATTGTGTTATCGTCTAAAACCTTCCTTGCCCGCTTTGCACCCTAGCATACCTATGTTCTTATCTACGACAGTAAAATTTTTGTTAAGGATATCTGTAAAGCTAATTTAAACACTATACTAAAATAAACTAGCCTTATGTGTTCATATAAAACAATGTTGTTTGTTTACGTATGATTTATATTAAAAAGAAAATTTAGAATAACCTGCGTACAGGTCAAAAATTTAATATCTTGGTTGGGTAAAAGATTCGCAAGTTAAGTTGAAAATAAATTATTATCATCTTTTTATTCTCTTATAATGTTTTATTCATTTACTCAACTTTTAATTTAGTTTATAGGTAATTTGTGTAAATCAAAAGTTTTATTTTATAGTACTTTAATTTTAGTTGTGAAAAGCGGTATCTAGTAGCGCTCCGAAGTCCTTCTTTCAAACGTGAACCTTATACAGCCTACGCGGTGTCGGAAAATTCCACTAGATGGCGCCACTTGGAGGTAGCAGCCAACTTAATGTTTTAGGTGAATTTTCAAAGATGGCGCTACAAGGCAAGTTTCGAGTTGTTATATACTATTATTCCTAATACTTGCCTGCTGTGCAGCTCAAATTAAATTTTTATAATATGCGAAATCTTTTATAAAATTGAATCTTGCGATCTTCAGTTATGGCAAATAATGATCATGTTGATATTCTATGTACACCCTAACTATGTTTGCAATTTGACAAGTACCTCTATGTAGGTATTTAATTTTGGGAATTAAACAATTATCAATTATAATGTAATATATAATATGTTATACTAATAATATTATAATGTCATCCCACCACTTAATTATAATATTTAATTATTCAAGACAAAACAAAAAAATTCAACAATTATTTTACGAGCTACAAAGGTATTAAAAAAATAATCTTTCGAAACGAACATACAAAACAAAACTAAATTCACGAAAGATAATATCCAGACATAGGATTACCTGCAAAATATTGCAATAACACTGCAGGCTAAACGCTTGACAAATAACATAGATATTACACTCAATCGGGCGACGCACTCTATAACGATTGATATTAAATTATGTGGGTTATAAATCCGGATCGGTACCTATAAACAAATAAAGCGGTTGGCTACGTCAGCGGTGCGATGTGTTGCGTGTTCGAACGGCACGTAGAAATGCGTCACTCACTCGCGGTCGTCGCTCCCTTCGCAACAAATGACGATCTGACTCACTTCCAACGTTATGAGTATTTTTGTTTAATCATGTACAAATATACAACAATTTATTTTTAGTTTTTAATATTTTGTTTTGTTTAACACTAATTTGTCACTTTATTAAATATGAATAAAATTAAAATTTCATTTCAAATAAATAAATGGTAGGCACTAGACATTTTTAAACTAAAAACACAATATTTTTCCGTGTTTTAAGGAAAATAGCTTACATTTTTTTTCTATAACTATGATGTCGTCATAGAAAAAAGAACATTGACATAATTCTCATTTAGAACAGTTGGAATTAATGTGGAAATGATGGTTGCTTCATCCCGTGTTGTAACTCGGAGTCTCTGACCGGTTAACGGGCAAACTTGCTACACGTGCTTTACCCACCAAGGTAGCTCAGTTGCGCAACGTTCTAGAAATTTCTTGGGCACTTTCTTTATACAGTCACACTTCAAAAATGTTTATAAATTAATTATCGTACCTGGGTATCTTTTTTGAACTGTCGATTAATCTATTTTTGGATCGTTTTTTAAAATTAGTAGATTTTCCATTTTTACTAGGTAAGAATTTCTTATATAGGTACTGAAGTATAAAATTACAGTTATGAATAAGTATTCCAGAACCTTCAGTTCTAAAATTCTTGAGTCGGAGTTAACGGAGACTGTTATAAGGTCACACAATCTATTCCCTGCACAAACTATGCAGTTGCATTAAAGGTAGTTGCAGAACCTTGATTGCCTAGAAAATTCTTAAGATATCTTTTTCTTAATAGATTTTTAGTATAATATTATATTGTTTATGCCAATCTGTACGGCACCGTGAACGAGCGTTTTAGTTATTATTGTTATGAGTAAATGCGCGGGAAAGAAACAAACTCACGGAGTTTTCTTTTATACATAGAGAAAAGTATAAATTATACTCTATAAATACTTAAACTTTAATATGTAATTATTTTATTATAAAACGTTGCCAATTTCATAAAACCCCAGTTACATAACGTATTTAATTCGTTAAAATGTAAAACTTAATCATTTACATTGCTACGCTGCAGCTACGAACGCGAACCTACCTCAACAATTAGTTTCGCTACTCGCTCACAGATGGCGCTACATGCCGCTTTCGCTAAACGGTTGAAATTGGCAACGCGACGAGAATAAAACTCAAGTATTGTGTGTAAATAAAAAATGTTTATTACATATTTATATATAGTTTACCTTTTTATGTAATATGTGTATTAAAATAAAGCAATTGTTCATAAACACTATTAATTACGTTACGCATTTAAAATTATTAACTAGATACGTTTTTATCTTAACGCCTTTGATGATTAAGTTTATTAATATTATACACAACAAGAAATAAATATAAACAAAACCATATGTTTTGTAAAACCAAGTCATGAAACTAAACAGATAAAGCGAATGAAGCTGGATGAGTAGGAGGAGAGGGGTTCTTTTAATATCACAAATGTGATATTGGTCGTATGGTCGTACTAACAAAGGTGTAATAATACTTAAGACCTTCAAACATAATATCGATATGACAGCAATGTAATAAAATAAAGTAGTTTGTCGGAGAAGGGCGGGCGATATCGTAACTGTAGCCAGCGATAGCGGAGTCGGTCGCAGCGCAACCTTGCAGAGTTTGTTGCTCCTGCAAGGCGACCGAGGCGGCGCGGGGCGGGCGCGGGGGGGCGAGGTGACCATCTAACCTCCAGTGACACGGTCTGACTATACCACAGATAAACAACAACAGTATAACAATCTAATTTACCAACTATTACAAATACCAAACTTGCATTCACGAATTATACTTATACAACTATGTTACATTAAGTCACTTATTGTGAAAGGTGTTTTTAAAAGCTTCTTTATAATTTGTCGTTTAAGTCTTTTGCTCTACTGTATTGTTTTGACTGTGGCTCTTTACTAGGCCAGGCACTCTAACATATCTACGCTATGATATAGCGCACGTATAGGTCACTCATTAATAAGTTAGCACAAATATTGATTGTGAGACTCGCCTTCTTATTTCCAATGCTGATCTTCTGTGAATACATTCTTTATCTAGCTCGATGTTTCATTAACGATAAACATGTTTACTATATTTCTACATATTCGGGCGCATCGTCAGCTCGTGTCCTTTATCTATGTGTGCTCTATGGATGTACTGCATGCTGTATCCTTCACGCCACATCAACAGCAGCAAGGTATATCAGAAATAGTTTTTTGTTACAGTAGGTAATGCAAATGCGTGCATCATTACGCTAATTTCAAGATAAATGGTATTCGAAAACATAATGAGATAATTGCTTAACTATCGACCAGAATTATCGGTTGTTCTTGATGAAGTTTATTGTCCTAAATACAGGTTGTTTACTTTTCCACACATGCATTGTAGTGATGTATTATCCTTCACAATATATGCACATTGTTTATTAGAGAAGAATGTTTGCGCGCCCGTACATGACCGCTCGCTGATATCAGTTACTAACCGTAGTTTTCTATTCATTGTTGTGAACTCTTTTGTTCGTGTTGTTAATGTTTATGAAAACATTTTTCCACCTGTTGCAGCTTTGAATATTTTTCATATAAAAATACAGTTTTTTGATGGGAATTGGATTATTCGATCTAGAGGAGACCTGCCTGTCTTCATACTAGTGTCCACCCACGGCCGTCACGGTTGCGTCTCTATTGGCGGCATGTCCTAGTTTTTAAGGCAGAACTTAAGCTAAGATTACTCCACCGTCCCCCCAAGCTGCGACTACAGCTGTTTACGTATCCGACGTCGGCTTGACCTATATACCAATACAATTGTATTATTCATGAGCCTGTCACTCGATTGCCTTTGTCGCACATAATCTCTCAGTCCTGTATAAATATACTGGCTTTACAGCACCATAACAATATTATGACCTATAAAAGTGAACACGTAACGAACTGGGAAGAGCTTGAAATGAATTCGAATCGACAGTGAGTTTTGAACAAGTCAGTTTCGTTTGGGTAAATAGGTTACGATAGAAAAGATCCTCTTATTTCGGGTTGGATTTGAAGAGATGAACTCATACTGCCTATAAATTATTTGTTCAATTTAGCACCATTGGACTTTAGAGTACTGAATTCTAATAGATACTGTACGTATCTATTAGAATATATTCTGTGCAGAAGTTATTTTCAAAATAATAAACCTGTCCAAAATCTGAGAAGTAAATGGTTTGATACGCCACAAAATTAAAATATAGGTAGCAGATGTAGGAATATTTAGTAGAGATCTATTTTAGGATTGCGAGTATTTGTGATGCGCAAATGTCGTCGTGTGCAGCGTCTCCCGATGAGCTGACCTACATGTATACGTACCGTACACCGGCCGAGTGTTCGCAACTCCGCCGTTATTATTTCATGCAAATTGTTTTACGTTCGCCCATTTGTCTATAACCATAATCACACATTAGCGGGCGACAAGATAAAATGACATTGACGCGCTTACTTCATATCTCTTACGTCATTCCCCCATCATTTCTCTGTAAAAATCCCCGACACTAAATTTTTTATACATTTGTAATAACTGAAAAGGCGGCCAAACGATAACTATCAATCAAGGGTAATGATGATGATATTAATGATAAATATTTAATTAGAGTTTAACTGTAATTACAATTCAATAACAATAGTGATTGGTATAACGAAGGCATTTAAAGGCTACCTACCCGTGGGTATGTATTAGCAACGCAGTGCAAATTCGGTCAATGCTATTCAAACTCATGTTGCTGCACTACGTTCATTATATCCGTCTCTATAGAAATAAGAATTATGTATTTATCTTAAGCTCAAATTATATTGTCTAAGCTGTCAATCATAATTTGTAAAACCTTGAAACTTGAAGAAAATCATTGATAAAAAATGTATTTTTCCGAGATTAGACAGCCAACTTAGATTTAAGAGCCGTAATAAGATTTTCATATTAATTGTGACTGAGTTTGTATGTGTAATGTGTGTGTGGTGGCAGGACAATGCTGGAGCGTGGCGTACAGTAGTATCTCGCGAGGGCGATAATTGCGAAGGTCGTGGCGCAGCTGGATGTAGCATCACACGCCCGACTCCTCCATGTGGTATCATTAGATAGGTGCTTCGTTACGATATATCGAGAAACCCGTGGTTTAAGCTAAAACGTAACGTAAAACGATAAGCGAAAGGTAGTATTTACATCGACGCTCGCCTCGGTCGGTGGCCTTACCTCGTTAGAGTTCATGCACCCGCGCGAAACTGGGGCACGTACCGCGTGCTCCCCCCCTACTCTCGACCGCTCCCCCCTTGCGTCGTCCCGTTACCTACCACTAACTTTTCATTGAATTGTTTCTATTGCTTACTTCAGAAAAATTCTACTATGATAAATGCAAAAAATACTATACTTACATTGACTGGGGTACGGGGACTTAGTATTTGAGTGACTTTATTCTTTGTTTTGTCGGGACCTCGTTAATAATAAGTTTAAGGTCATATAGTCGAGTAATGAAACGTTTGTTAAATGTCACTACATAAATTCTTCAGCTATTAAGTCACTGTTAGTGGTTGGCTTAACGTCAATAATATAATTAAAAGTGATGTGAAGGAGCGGAGTAGCGCGGTACAGACGTAAGTAAATGGTAATAGAAGAGAAATGCTGTCACCGCGCCGAGGCGAGTGAACCAGTATTGCGCTGTATAAGAGTTGCGCAAGCGCAGCCCGAGAAAGTGCGAGTAAAAGTTGACGCAACCCACGTCACACGCCGCTCGCCTCGCCACGTCACACATATACATAGCTCATTTATAATAGCGTTCGTGTATATGTGTGTGTGTGTATGTGTGTGTAGTTATGTATACGTACATAAGTGTCATGCACTGACGACACTGGATTACAATCGAACGTGTTATACAATGCCTTTAATAATAAACTATGTTACGAAGACGTTGCCACACGTAAGAACATTGAGGGTACGTTTTCATAACACTTATTGAGATAAATGACAAGTTAATGGGTTTCGCACTGTAGTCGCCTTAACTTCTAGTAATTATTCAAAAACAATGAAACAATTATCCTACGCGGTAGATAAGGCCTAACTGTCGGTAGGTTCTTACATACATTTGTGTCTACTTACATTTGTATGCATTCATAAATGCACTGATGTATCTTGGCAACGCATACGACTGGCAATAATCAGCAAAAACACTTTTAAAAGTAGAAAATTACATTTACATTTATATTATAACTTATCCGACATTTAAAGTGAATATGAACGGCTAGTAACGAATCTAATATGCAGCGATTAACTTCAAAAACATGTTATTACGATGATATCTGGCATAGTATACATGACTAATCATATCACATAACCTTAAGTTATATGATAACATGACATATAAAGACGAACTATAAATAGAATATCTGATATATAACAGTTTCCTGGGGTTCTTAAACACATTAATTGTAGGTAAATTGAAGTAATTTTCAGCGTTGAGGATCTCTGTGGGGAGGTGAGGGAGAGGAGAGGAGCGCGGGGCGAACGTACCGTGGCGACAGAAATAGGGCGCGGAGGACAGAGCAAGGCTGCCCTGGTTGCCGGCCAACGACCCGCGCCCGTACCTACGAGTACGTAGCCTACGTAGCCGACGTAGCTGTGTGCGTAGCACTCGCTACGATCTACTACGAGCCGTTTGCACCGACTGACGTGCCGACGCGCCGACGTACTATCGCCCGATAGGGATGCACCCACCTAATCTACGTTACGTAGACGACTCGTTCGTTACGTTCTAATTTGCAAGTTGATCTATTAATACGTTACGTCGATTTCATAATAATAATTCGTAAATAAACATTCGTGTGTATTTTTAATTGTAAGTAATTTATGCCGCTATGATAAAACCATTTTATAACTCTAGTATTTAAACAACGGTGTTTGAAAAATAGAATGAAAATGTTCTTACATATTTACAGCGCCATCTACCGTAGAATAGAATAACTTTGCATAGCGAGAATCATAAGCCGTTTGCCCCGCGCGCCCCGCTACTCCCTCCGCGATAAGGGCACGAGTTCGTTGCCCCGATAGAGACTGACCTCAAAAACGAGGACACTGCAAAATTAGGACGATGACAACGTAATGACTTGAGCGCCAGTTCGCTTTATACGATTTTTAACCTAACCGTTTATAGAATAAGAAACAAAATTGTTCAGCAGTACTTACTGAACTACATGTATTTGATCAATTAGGCAAATACGCTGACTACAACAGCAGCGAGCTAGCTCAAAGTGTTTTACTGAACGATAATAATAGGTTCAGGTTATTCCTGGAATTCAAATGTTCTAGGTAAGTGGTGTTTAATTTACAGGAGTGTGAATTACAAAGTTCTTCGTACATAGCACAAAAGTTGAATGAGGAAAATGGAACAAGAATTTAAATACAGTTTGGATAAAGAAATATAATATTATAAGAGCAAAGAGGACAAGAACGGCGATACATTTACGTATTTAGAACATATAGACGCGTGTTTTTATTTAGTTTCATAAATTCAGAACGTGACCCAAATTAAACGACGTAATGCCGTCAGTCTGTCCTGTCGAGCTCGTCTATCACAACTCGTACATGTGCTTTACTGACAGATAACTTTCTTTTGTTACAGGTAAGTGGCGGGTCATTCCTCCGCGATTACTTTAAACTGTCTCCCGATAAGCAAAGAGTTATCTTAACAGGTAAGCCGTGGTTTTGTGACGAACTAGTCGCGTGACATCACATTTAATTTTAATTTATTTCTTTTGTCTAATCTGAGAACGAAATGTCATGCTTAGGTTAATACATTTATTGCCTGTTAGTTTCTTGTCGTTGGTAATAACTGGTCACATTGTTAATGTAAAATTAACATAATCACAGCTTGTGATTACAAAACGCTGATAGTCGTTAGACACCCATTGTTTATATTTACTAGCCTTGTAAAAATATTATCTATTACAGTTAATAAACGATGTAAAACCGATGTTTACACGATAAATTGACACGACAACGTTTGAAAGTAAATATAGGAATGTGAAGGGGATTATTCTAAAACGTGAGACGTTTATGAATTGCGATAACGATTGCAATGGAAAATAAGTGCAGGATGCAGGCGCGGGCCGGGAGCCGCCGCTAAATATAGTGCGGCCGACGACCCGCATGTAGGTCGCACCCTGCGCCACTCCATCGCCACCGCCACTCCACAGCCACTCCGCTGCCAGCTACCACCCTCTAATCATAACCCGCTCCAAATGCTACCTATTCATTTCTCAGCTAAATTCCAGTGCACTTACATTAATTAGTGACGACACGGCGCCAGCTATCTTGGCTCGTTTGTTGATCTTATGCAACAACAATATTTACAATAACCACTTTCTCCACAAGTGGATAAATCAAACGACCAACGAAGCTATAAGAGAAATTATCATAAATATGTTGTTAATCCACTCGAAGCGTTTTACAAGCCTAGTATTGAAACATCAATGTTTTGTTTAGCATGGGAATAAGCCGAGCTATGTACTATCTTCATTACTTGGAAACTTTTACATGAAAAACTCGTGTAAACGACCGGAGGTGCATGAACTTTAAATGCTTAACCGTCGTAAGGGAATACGTAAACAACATAAATTCCTTGTGAGCAGCTGTAGTTATCGAAGTGGTTTCTCCTTTTTTCAGTAGTTAACGTTCGTTGATCGTTTGTTTTCAAACTTTTTACGCCTGCATTGATTATAAACACATGCAGCTTGAATTGGTATCAATCAATCACGTAACTCGTAAATAGCGGTAAATCCAAGCAATTAACTAGGAGTAGGTAAGTACGTAGAGACGAGGCGCTCGTAATAAATTTCAGAAGTAGCGCAGTGCAATGTGCATTCATAATAAATTTGTAAGGACACGTCAGCAGAGTGGCGTGGGTGTTGTTGTTTTCCCCATGGTTTATGTTGGCTGAGCTCGGCGGGCGCTGGGCGGGCGCGGGGCGGCGGCGGGCTCTCGGGCCGCGGGACGCGGGGCGGTGTCGCAAGCCGCGGGTGCATGGCCGGCCGTCGGCACCGCGCCGACCCTGACTGACTTATCTTGCGAACGTGCGGCGCGCGCAAATTCTAACGCTGCAAATTTAACAGCCCGTGGATTATTGCTGCATGTTGTTTCACAGCGTGATACACATGCTGTTATCGAATTCCGCCTCAACCTTTGTAAATATGGTACCTTGTTATACCATTTGCCAATACAACAACATCGGCTCGAAACATAGATGTAGCCTTTATATGAAGTTAGCTCAAATACAATCACAAAGCAATGCCATTCCGAACACGTTCACCGAAGTTGATTCAAAATATTGACGTATGGAGTCGATTAATTACAGTGCTACGTACCGGAAACATGATGATTACAAAACGATTACAAGAGGGTCGGAACCAAACATTAAAAAGTTTTATGTTTTTTTTTGTTTTTGGTTTCTGTTGTTATGGCACAGGATAATGTCCCGTCTTCTTTGAAAGTAAAATCATTGAAGTCGTTGCACTGCAAGTTTATTATAATTTATGTAGTGACCTGTTTAACTACTGCGTTACTCCCACCCTGTGCAAAACAACAACATTTCCATTAACGGCGACAAATTGTGCGTGAAGTGACAAGCCAGTAGCCGGCTGATCTTGTTTTGTTACGTACCTATCTTGTTTCATTTAAAACTTCCCGTTACATTCATTATTTCAAGTTGACGTATTTCATACGGACCTGTCAGCAACAATCCTAATTATGACAATGTTGACATGCATTGTTTTTGTTCATTTTGTGTGGAACTCTCTTATCTTATTTGATCTTTAATAGATGTTTCTAGAAACTTTGCAAGGTAAATGTTGCCAATCTAATCTAGGTATCTTAAATTAAAGTTGAGATCCGCTTCTGATAGATTAAACTGAGTAAATTTCTCTAAAAACCTTTTATTTGAATTGATTGGCGTCAGTAACAACCCAGTAGGTCACTGAAAGCTAAGTTATTAAAGCACAAGGTACAGTCTGTTTGTTTCACCTTGATGTAATGAGTAACTGACATGGGTTGTAGGTATCGACGTGCGGTAAGAGGCAAGCCTAGGCTGGATCTCAAAGGCAGAGTGGCAGGGAGCGGCCGCGGCCGACTCGGACTTTGTAATACATTCGGCCTAGTCAGCGTTCGTTGGCCTGTGTTGCTTTGCTCGAGGTCGCTGCAGAGCGCTGCGAGAGACACCAGCCCGAGCGCGCCCGAATGCTCACGGAAATTACCGAACAATAAATTGGCGCGGAATTTAAATTCTGAAGTTGAGAACGTCATGCTTGATCAATTCAATCAAAATACTGGATTCTCATTCAAATTAATGTTGTATCACGACCATTCTAGCATTAGGCATGAAATATGAGCAATATATCAGTTATTAGATTAATAACAGAGATTGTTTCTAGTAACAAATTTTATAACACAACCATGTAACTTTAGATATAAGCAAGTAACGACCCCTTATATATTTAATCGTATTAATCGTTACTACTATTTGTAGCAATTTAAATGAGGTATTAAAGTCACAAACGGAGCACGTCCATAATATGCACTGAGAATTAGTAAACAAACGAGACAGTGCGTGCGTATTGTTTGTAATTTCCCTATTCAAAAGCAAAAGTTATAAGTTATGTAAGCGGTCGGAAAGTCGCTGTGTGACACTTTAACCCAGTGCTGCATATTCCGGAGTGAGTCCAACGCACCCGTTTCGCGTTCATTAGTATGGAGACAGCGGCTCACCACTTTCACTCTCGCCAATAACAAGTGTTACGCAAGCCGCCGCCGTCACCGCAACTCTCTACTCTCGTCGACTATCTCCGGAGCGCAAGCGCATCGCTCCCACCATCGATAGATTAGCGAACGTAAAAAATGTACATAAGTTCTTGCAATAATGCTGCAACAGTGACGAGACAGCGTAAGACTCATCCTCGGGCCTAATGATAG